AAGGAGGATTTACAGTGTTTATTGAAAAAAAAAAAAACACATGTAAGTGGACCCACACAATTCAAACCCATGTTGTTCAATGGTCAACTGTCCTAGCTATTGCTGACAGTGGTTGGGAGCATGGGCTCTGAAGCCAGACTTCCTCACTTGCTTGCTTGGGTGAAGTGTTTGAACACTGTGACCCACAGTTTTTCCTCATGTAAATGGAGCATAAAAGTTGTACTTACCTCCTAATGTGTGTGTGATGATCAAAAAGTCCTGCATAGAAGTGATGCCTAGTTCTTTTCACACCATCAATAAACATTCTCTAGTACTATTAACACTGCGTGCCTAACCATGTGCCACATCTCCAAGGCCTGCAATAGTTCATATCATATTGGGAGTGCTCGATGTGTTTGTTGAATGAACAAATGATTGAGCAAATGACTGTTGTCATTTGTTAAATGCCTGCTGAATGCCAGATGCCTGTTTAGGTATTTTACCATCCGTGAGTCAGTTTAGTAAGTCACAAATAGCATTAAAAATAGAACAGAGAAGAGATTATCAGCATCTCAGGATGTATAGATGAGAGAAGCTTCAGATGTATGTATGTCTGTATATCTAAATCTATATCTACAACTATATCCCTTTCTCACATTCATATCTGTTTATATACATATATCTATGTCTACATCTATGTCATGTTGAAATAAGTGTTAATGTATCTGTGTGTCAATCTAGGTCCACGTCCCTATCCATATTAAAATTTATATCTATATATTAGGGACATATAGAAAGGAGACAGAGAGAATGTTTAGATATTACATGTATATGTAATATGTATGTGCACATGTATTACATGTGTGTATATATGTCTTATTGTATTCGCTATATATACATGTACATGTTGCACATATATGTCTATATAGAGAGAGACAGAGACACAGAGAGACAGACAGAATGAGTAGCATAGTGATTAAGCTTGTACCCTTTGACCAGAATCTCCCCATTTCCCCCCCACGAAGGCCCCTGACAGCCACCATTTTACTCTCTGTTTCTATGAGTTTGATGTTTTTTAGATTCCACATATAAGTGGCATCACACAGTATTTGTCTTTGGCTTATTTCACTTAGCATAATGCCCTCTAGGTCCACCCACATTGTTGCAAATGGCTCTGGACCTTGACTGCCTACATTGGGCCATCATACACCTCTTACTAAAGGTACCTATTACCCAACTTATTTGTGCCTTCGTTTTTTCACCGCTAAATGTGTAAACAAGGACCACAATACTAGTTACCTCATAAGGTTTTTCTACAGCTTGTATTATAACACATAAAGCTGTCATAAAAATGCTCGGTACATCGCAAACTTAATATAAAGTGTCACATATTACATCTGGGTGACAATGAAAAACGGATGTCTTACATTGGCTTGGGGTCCAAAAACCCGTGCCTGTTCTACCTTATTTATTTCATCCTGACAGTGTTTCTCTGGGGCCGCTATTTTGTCCTATATCAGGAGTCAGCAAACATAGCCATTGCTAAAAATCAGTTTTCACGTTATTAAATGGTCAAAAAGAAAATTAAAAAAATAGAAGAAGCTTTTGTGACCCGTGAGCATTATATAAAATTCAAGTTTCAGTGTCCACAGATAAAGGGTTATTTTGGAAGCACAGCCCTGCCCTCATAAAGTTGGGAATATTTACTTCCTTTACAGAAAATGTTGGCAGCCTCCGCACACCAGTCACAGAACGCTTCGAGAGGTGCGCGGGGATTCGGGGGGGACAGTGACGTGCACAAGGTCACAGAGCTCGGCGTCAGGCCCCAGCTCTGTGTTTCCTGCTGCTGCGATGATCCCAGCACGGGAGGACTCGACCCCCTCCAGCCAGCACGGGCGGAGCCGGCTGCGGTGTGGACCTCGCTTGTAGATGCGTGGGTTTGGGACGGGTGTGGTGACAAGACAGGAAAAGGCCACTATCTTGTGGCACTTGGTGGGGAGGGGCCTGGAGCCCTGGGGGCTCAGGTACGTGGCGATCACCGTGCTCTAGGAGAGCGCTGCCACAGCTGCAGGTGGACAGGGCCTCGGGAGGCTCCTAGAGCCGTACCGCCGCCCGGAACCGCGGCGTAGGCGGCGGGGGCCAAATGCTGGAGAGGCTGGGTGCGCCAGAGCTGAGGGCCAGTGTACGGTGGCAGTGGGGCCGCATCTGCCCTCAGCATGGAGGGCAGCTCGCAGAGGAACTGGTCCCCCAGGCCGGGGCAGAAGAGCAGTCGCTGCGTGGCCGCGGCCTTGGGCACGGACAGCAGAAAGCCCAGCACCGGGGCAGTGGTGGCCAGAGAGGCGCAGCGCGGGCGTCATGGTGAGCCCACAGCTCAGGGATGGCACACAGCCAGGCCGCGGTCCATCGCCCTGGAGGCAAGGAGGATGGTCTCGCAGCTGTCCAGGGAAGTACCCAGATAGAGCTGGGCCCCTGGGGCGCGCCGGCATGGGCTCTGGGGCCGGCGCGAGCGTGGTTTCACAGACGCGGGGTCCAGCAGCGCCAGGTGCAGCTGCAGGTCCAGGGCGACCAACGCCACCAGGAGTACCGCCCATAGCAAGGGACGTAGGGGTGGCGGCGCGCACAGCCCCCGCAGCAAAAAAAACCCGCTTCATTCCAGCCAGCCGGGCCCGTCCTGGGGGAGAAGCGCAATTGTGAGGCTCCAGTGCACACACTGCTGGGGCCGGGGCTGTGGGCGCGAATCCTTCCTCTTTGTCTTGTTGCTTCCTCCCCTCCCGCCTCTCTCCCCTCCACTCCCCTCTCAGTCTGTCGGTCTCGTGTTCCTCTCTCTCCGTCTCACCCCCACCTCCCTAGTCTTGTCAAT